CAAAATTTGCCCCTAACTTGAAGAATCACCACTTTTTCCTCCCACCTACACCATATGGAGCCGGCGCCGAAAATTGCCAAATTCGACCGCCATACCACCGAATAAACCATCAGATTTTTACACCACCAACACCTCCTCACCCCCTCATCCACTATCTTATACCAACAAGCAGCCTTAACTGATAAAAAATAAAATGAAATTCCGATTCAAAAAATCATCCCAACGCACGATTTTACCTCCAATTCCGGTCGATTCCACCATTGTCGTCGCCACCTCTACTTCCACCGCACCACCAACACCTTCACACAAACACCATCACCACCACCACCCAAAAAAATCATCCAAATGAGAACCGAAATCAACATCAATGATGCATTAAAATCCTTTTATCAGATGCTCCAAATGCAACCCTTGCCACCCAACTCATCATTTAACAAATTGATAGTCTCTGTTGCCAAAACCAAGAATTATCAAGATATCATTTTTATGTAGAAAAGGGGTGTGCAAAATTTGTGTTTTTGGGCTGGATTTTCTGCTACTTCCTTTGATTTGTGGCTGGTGGTTGATTGGAAATTATAGAGGGGAATGAGGCGAGGCTCATGGTGGTTGGATCTGGTGGTTTTCGCCGCTGGAAAGTCGTGATTTGTGGCTCCAAAGTGGAAACTGAGCTTAGTGTTGGTACCGTACCTTAATCCTCCCAAACCGTGCCCTAATCCCCAGCCGCCGGTTGCCATCCATGGGCGATGGTGAGCCATCCCCTTCCCAACCCTCCTATGCTCCTCTCCCTCATCCCAAGCCACAGGACGCCATCACCATGGGGGACGGCAAAGCCCCTTCATCCACACCTCTCCCTCATCCGAAGTCGTCGATTACCTCCTGGGGCGACGGCAAAACCTCCTTACCCCAACGCTCCTCCTTACCTGGCCTCACGCCACCCTATTCAGCCATGGCACCCTCTGAAAGACCCCAAACCGTGGACATTCAAAGTGAAGGCAGCCCTTATTCCAGTCACTCCCTCACTTCAGATATAACTGAGCTTAGTGCCGGGAAGTGGTTAATATTTGGAATCGTGGGCAAATTCTGAGAAATTGAAATTAGATGAAATTTGCACTTGAGTTCCTCAAGGATTCAATTCATATGTTTTTGGTCATTCAGTGACCGTTAGTGAAGTTTATGTAAGTTCGGTGACTGTTTATGCAAGTTTTGAACTTCAGTGACCGTTTTGTGATTTTGATGTAAGTTCAGTGACCGTTTGTGCAATTAACCCTTTTCTTAATATACAATGAGCTATTTATAAATATTGCATGCTCAAGGTATTGCATTCTTTACCTGTTGTTTGGATTATTCGATTTGGGCTACACTTTTTGTATGTCAACACTTGTGTTTTGACATGTTTCACTCCGTTAGTGGTGATGATTTCCTCTAGAATATTCTGCTGAAACGTGTTGCTTGCCTATTGGTGAGGATATTGGTGAGGATTTTGCTATCATATTCTATATACACGGGTCGTTTGCTTATTGGTGAAGTTACTTTTAATGAATTTTCTACGAGGAGATTACAAGAAATGTCCACTTTCGCATGATCATTTGTAAAACTGTCCAAAATTTGTTCAATATCCATTTTGCAATGTTTTAGACCAAAATATCGTTGCTAACAATTTATAATTCCACATTAAAGACAAAAATTTGCGTACAATTAAAAAAATTGCTGATCAATAAAATTTTGACACATAACCTACCTTACTTATTTCAAAAGTACACATGTCAAATCACAATAAATGCTATATTTCTTGTTGACACGGATATTAAATATCGAGAATTACATTTCAAATGTCAAGAACTTTATGAAACGTAGATAACTCTTATATTTGGAATGAAATCTCATTTAGATAAATGAAGTATCAAGATAAACATGATTCAAATATGGATAACAACTTTTAAAATGAAATATTGAGAACGTCATTTTAATGTAGCTTCACATGGAAGCTACTTATTCTTCTCGAAATTCGTGACAAAGTGAAAAAAATTGCTTCATTTTTCACTAAAGGTATAATAGACAATTTAGTACTAAATTTGGCCATTTTTGCAAGAATTATCAAAATTGGACAATTTTTAATATACAAATATGAAATTAGACATTTTTGTAAATTCCGCCATTTTCTATTTGATTCCTGTTGCAACTTTTCAATATTTTTGACTGCATAGTAGTGATCACCTTACCATGTGACAAAAAGAATGTTCATTCATAACGGAAGAAGTTGTGGATCATGTTACGTACTTTGCCTTTAGTTTTTGGATAAGGACACTGTCTAGAGAATATCATTTTCTAAATCCCTAAGGTTCGTCGAACACTGCTTCATCGTCAAGGCTAACTTTCTTTCTTGCACTTAGGTTATGGTTTGCTGGGCTGTGAACCATCTAAAAGGATGTTGACGAAGGTGTTGAGCCTCGCTACCTAGCGAGGTGATTCACGAAAAATATGAACCGTCTTTTCAAAGTTACAGTTACTTAGAATCCCTCTATGCTCTTGTCGCTACAAAAAAGATAAAAAAAAAAAAAAATTGTTTCCAGGGACCAATTAAATTGGTTGCTAAAGAGTATGTTTTGGTTGGTAAAGATCTTCAGCGACCAAATAATTGTGGTCGCGGACTGGTCGCTAATAAAATGTTGGTCTTCAGCGACCAAAAAACCAAATAATTGTGGTCGCGGACTGGTCGCTAATACAATGTTGGTCTTCAGCGACCAAAAAGGCATGGTCGCTAATCATGCAACATCCCACGACCAGTCGCAAAAGAGTTCGATTTTGGTGCCTAATAAAAGTGAAAAAAATCGATTGATTAACTGTTGAATGTTTTAAGCGACCAAGGCAACGTAGTCACTAAATTATATGCCTTCTAGCAACCACGTGTTGGTCGCTGATATTAATTTGAAATTGGTTTACTCATACCCTATTTCAACCAAAATATGGTCGATAAATCGATTATAGCAAAAAAAAAAATTCACAATAACAGCAACCAATAATTGGTCGATGATTCTTTGGTCGTTGGAGCCCATATTTTTTGTAGTGTGGGTTCCGTGTGAGTTTATAAGTAACAATTATAATATTAATTTTTCTTTGAATTTTCCATATGCCTTCATTTTCAGTATTTTCTTAAATGTATATATTTTATTGGTCCAAAATAATTTAATAAACCTTTTTATTAATAATTCTCCATTCTAGTAAATTATACATTCGTCATGAAGCATCAATATTTTATAATGTATATCCAACTATTCCAAAACATTTCTTACTATTTTCATGAAACGTGATAAAAAATCTCTATTTGAAATTTCCGCCAAACATGCTAATGGTATGCTGACAACTTATGTATGCCCTTGTTTGGTAGAAATTAAAATATTAATTTAAATTTAAATTAAAATCAACAATTAATTTTATGAGTTTCACAACTTTTCATCCACAAATTTCATTAACTTCTATCTGATATTTTTTCTGGTGATGTTAAGAGATGTAACTTTATTTACTATTCAACTATTTAAAAAGAAATAAATGCACTTGTCAGTTAGAAAAATGGCAAATATTCATCCATTTCTTCAATTGAACTCATTTAGTAGTCCATTAAGAAGACAAGTTATTGCCTTCAGCTCCTTTGAATAACGTTTTGTAATAACAGAATTTAATTACATTCATAGTAATAAAATCTATTAGTTACTTTTATCATTTATTTTGTATAGTAGACAAAAATCTCTCTTCAATCTCAAAATTTACAAATTTTAATCTTAAAATGAAAATTAGAGTTTGAATTTTTAAGTATTACCCTTTAATGCATTGTACATATGCCTTTGATCTTTTCCTTTTGTAACAATTGAGTCCTCAATGGACGATTTTAACCGCATCTTCAATTGAAAAGTCAAAATTCCGAATAAAAAGATGGTTCTTACCCTTATTTTATACGTAAACCTGAAACTTTTCCCATATTTTTTAACTACACATTCTCCAAAAATTTACTATTCGAAACAATTTTTTTTTTTTAAAAAAATGAACACCAAGCAGAGGCTTAATAACAAGTTATGTTTCTATATTAGAAACAAAGATAAAGGCAATTTCGGAGATTCAAGTGCTATAAAAATGAAAAGAATGGAACTTCCTATAAACTTAAGGTCTTAGACTTAACTTTTTCATATAGGTTAAGACCACCCATTGTAATTTTCTCAATCTTAAGTATGTTTTTATTCAACATCCATTAAAAACAATATATATATATACTTCAACTAGGGGTATCAAATAGTCTCTCATTTCTCAATATATAGATCAATGGACGACCTATTTTCTTAATCTTGTCACATTCACAAAACTACTCCAACTTTGGTGAAGTTAAACCAAACTTATAAAAGTTGTAATACTGAAAGCCTTTGGTAATCTAAAGCTCGACAATACGACAAATAGTTGATTTATCGTAAAGGTACTTTTGTCAATGCTCTTGCAAATTTCCATGGGCTATTCGTTTTGAAAAACCGTGTAAACATAACTAAATTCTGTTTTCTCTTAAACATTATAAGCTTTCAGATGAATTGGCTCGAAGGATTTGTTTGTTTATATATTGTCTTATGTTATCTGAATATATGCTATATATTGTTGGTAATTGGCAGGTTCTTTTATTGTTTATATATGGAGAAGGCAGGAAGGTACTTATTTTTCTGGTGGCTTGGAATTGCATTTCACTTGTTCTTGCATGTTGAATGTGCTGAGAAGGCCCCGAAGAGGTTTGATACCCACAAATCATTGCTCTTTTTTTTTTTTTAGTTTGAAAATTCGAGTGTGCATCGAATGACATGTTTGATAATAGATGGCACTATAATCTACTTTACCATACAAGTCATAAGATTAGAAGCATTAGCTTTCATCCGAATTAACTTTTGAACTTATATTTCTTGAATTAATTTTTGATGGTACATGCATAAATATGTTATAAACCAATTTTATTTCTTATTGTACATACAACCATATTTGGATTTGATTAGAGACGACTATGATAATTTATAAAATAGTCGCATGTCACTTTTGTTTTACGTTTTCGAGTCGCGTTCCATCCAACATAGCAAACAGTCTTGCTGATATGAAGCAATTCAACACCAGCCAAATTGCATTACAATTCTTTATAATCATATTTAAAAATTTCTTTCATTGCCATATAGCAGACATATTCTACCGAACAATAGTACTGAAGGACAGATGCCATTTCCTGCAGTCAAACTGCATAAATTGGATGATCATGTAAGGCTAAATTACCCCCTCCATTCATTTAAAGATAATAAACAATTTGATTAATGTATTTTTCCCTCGTAAATGTATTTTTTTCAGGTGGTGATGGACAATGGTATTGTTAATCTCACGTTATCTTCCCCTAGTGGTATGATCGTAGGAATACAGTACAAAGAAACCGAGAACATATTGGAATATCGCTTCAAAGAATCTGGAAGAGGGTGAGTAGTTTTGAAATTAATATCCGGGTAGAAAATGTGGAAGGTTATTGAATATTGTTCAACTTTAGTTACAATATTTCACATTCTCGATTAAATATATGAAAGTTGACTAGTCACTTGATATTATGTGCAGAGGAATCGTATCTTATTTACTACTACGTGAGAAGATACTCAATGTTTATATATGAAAAATGTCGCGGTAGAGATTTCTACAGTAATCATATGTCTTATCTAACCTTCTTTAAAGAAGTACTAATTCAAGTGCTTTCAAACTTAGGTATTGGGACATTGTGTGGAGTAGGCCACCAATGAAGAAAAGCTTATTCGATAAGTAAGTTTTCAAATATGAACCTTTCGTAATTCTGGAATCGTAGTCCATACAAACTTGTATACAGCAAGAGCACATATTCAATTAATAAAACTATAGAAATAGAAATAAATTCAAATGGAAAATTTATGCAGACTTGAAGGGACAAGTTTCAGAGTTATAGTAGAAACCGAAGATCAGATAGAAGTTTCATTCACGAAAACATGGAATTCCTCTCTTGGTGACGATGTTGTTCCCCTAAATGTCGACAAAAGGTGATAGTTAAATTTATTAACAAGTATTGTATCCTCAAGAATTTGATGATGTCTCTGTCTAACTAATGCTAGTCTTTTACAGGTTTATAATGTTGCGTGGTGTATCTGGTTTCTATTCATATGGAATAATGGAACACTTAGATGGTTGGCCTGCTTTAAACATCGATGAATCAAGAATAGCATTCAAGCTTAACAAGGATATGTAAGATTTTAGATTAAATTTCACTTTGTTTTGTTAAAGAAAAGTGTTGTTACTTAATATGATATGATTAGGTTCGATTATATAGCTATATCAGACGACATGCAAAGGACCATGCCAACAGACCATGATCGAACCACAGGTCAAGTTCTTGCATATAAAGAAGCTATTCTATTGACAAATCCTCAAAATCCAACTTGTAAAGGCGAGGTAAGTCTTTAACTATTGATCCAACAACTTAGATCTTATTATTCGACAAAATGTACACAATGCCAACAAAAATAGAGAAATAAATCATGTTTTACAAAAAGGTGGATGACAAGTACCAGTACTCGCGGGACAACAAGGATGACTTGTTGCACGGGTGGATTAGCGCTAAACCACGTGTAGGCTTCTGGATAATAACACCAAGCTACGAGTTTCGTCCTGGTGGCCCTCTGAAACCTGATCTCACATCCCATGTTGGCCCAACTTCTTTAGCTGTAAGTACTTCTTGTCAATGTCGTCACTTGCTTACTAGTAATTTTAGACGATCTTACAAAATAAATGTTTTCAAGATATTATTAAAATTGCTTGTCGAACGTAGATTCTGGTTAACATTCCTTGCATAAACATTTAACATACTGCTTTCTTTCGTAGTGACTCTCTTCCATTTATCCATGTACAGATATTTTTAAGTAGCCATTATGCTGGTCCAAATTTTAGAATTGCATTACGAGATGGAGAGCCGTGGAAAAAAGTATTCGGCCCTGTTTTTGTATATCTGAACTCAGATCTCTGGAATACGCCAAGTACACTTTGGGCAGATGCTAAGAAACAGGTACTTTTCATGCAACTAAATTCCATCATTCACTAGATCCTTCAAAATTCTAACTGCGTGTTCGATAGAGAACACTAGACACGACCAAACAATATGATGAACAATTTTTTTTTTAAAATTTTTTTCTTTATTAATAAAATATTCAATGCTATCTAATCGTACCGTACCAAAATTAGTATTATTTTTTCCATTTTTCTACCCAAAATAATTCATCCTTGTCATTTGTCTTACCTTATCAGACGCTAATAGAAATCAAGAAATGGCCATATGATTTCCCTCTTTCAAAAGACTTTCCTAATGCCAATCAACGGGGAGCCATTAGTGGTCGACTCTTTGTGTTTGACAAGTACATGAATATAGAACCCATACCAGCAAAATCAGCATATGTAGGGTTGACTCCACCTGGAGATTTGGGTTCTTGGCAAGAAGAGACTAAGGTAATATTTTTCAGGAATTTTTATGTTTATTTATATAAAATTAACATTAGATAAGGTGGTCAATTACATATAAGATGCAATTTATTTATTTTTTTCCCCCTCATTATTGTTCACAGGGTTATCAATTTTGGACTCAAACTGATGAAATGGGCTACTTCACAATAAGAAATGTTAGAGCAAGCACTTATAATTTGAATGCTTGGGTTGTCGGATTTATTGGCGATTATAAATACGACAAGGATATTGTCATCAAACCAGGTTTTCCTCTCAAGAAATGATATAAGTCTCTCCGTTTCTGTTTTAACGTTTCTTAAATTGTATTTACCACGGTTTTCGACATTTTTTGCTGCTGCTACTTAACCATGAGATCATTTTTAGGTATAGAGAGCCAAATCCAGCTAGGCGATATTATATATAAACCCCCAAGAAATGGTCCAACTTTGTGGGAAATCGGAATTCCTGATCGTACTGCTGCCGAGTTTTATGTCCCCGATCCAGCACCAGGATTCATGACTCGATTATCTATCAACCGCGCAGAAAAGTAAGCTCTCCGAACATTACATCCATTGTCAACTAATGTGCTTCGTGATTTTTAATGATCACTGTTAACTATATTCAGGTTTCGACAGTATGGGTTATGGGATCGATACACAGATTTATATCCAAATCAAGATTTAGTATACAGAATCGGCATTAGTGATTACAGATACGACTGGTTTTTCGCTCATGTCAATAGGTTTTTAACACATTCTCCTACCTATTTTTAACCCCATATATATATATAATCTTGCTAACTTTGATCATAATTTTATGTCGCAGAAAAATAAGTACAAATAATTATCAACCAACCACATGGCAAATTTCATTTGATTTAAGGAATGTTGTCGAGACAGGATCCTATATATTGCGGCTAGCATTGGCATCTGCCACCTATGCTGAAATACAAGTATGTACTAACAAATTCTGACCTAAATTTGATAAATGTAAGAATAAATCTAATTTTAAAATAACATCGATTTTACTGGACATTCTTAGGTTCGAATCAATAATCCAATTGCACCAAGTCCTTACTTCACTACAATGCGAATTGGCAAGGATAATGCAATTGCAAGGCATGGAATTCACGGATTGTATTCGTTGTATAGTATCAAGATACAGGGAATTGAATTGAAGAATGGTACAAATGCAATCTATTTAAAGCAATCAAGAGGTGGGCGTGCTATCGTTGGAGTCATGTATGACTACATTCGTTTAGAAGGGCCTAAGCTAGCTACTTGTTAGATTAGAAATTTCAATTAATTGTAGCTAGATTGATGTGCTGGACGATTTTATTTAATTTAGTTAAAGTAGAAGTATTTTATCATTTTTTGACTAGCAGGAGTTTTACTTGATTAGGAGTTTGTCTTATTAATCACTCTCTTGAGTTTGTTTTCTTCTATAAGATTAGATAGAATTTTCTT